GGGGTTAATGGAAATAAATATAACTAGTTATTTTAGATCAGTCAAAATGTAGTAAATGTCCTGTGTTTTTTTTTTTTTTTTTTGGGAGGACTTGATAAAAATTAGAAGAAACCACATCACATTTACAGCCTGAGTCCTGGTAAGGATTTCCCTGATGTCCATTGAACAAACTGTTGACCTTTGACCTCTCGCTCCTGAACTTTCGGTTAGCGCTCCATAGCTAACAGCCCAGTCTGCCCAGCAGGCTGCATGTAAATCAGATCCAGTTTAGATAAAAAAGTTGGCCGAACTTTCCTTTGTCAGAGAAGATACAAACTGCTGAGTCAGCATTCAGTCGTTCTCAGTTTCTTCTGTTACTTTTTTAAAATCAAACAAAAAAACACAAACTTTGCCACGTTCTAACCGCTCATGTATCAAAACGTTTGGCTCGATTGGGAAAAAAAAGTTTTGACTTTTAGCTTGTGTAACTTTTATACTTTTTGAATTATTTAACTTTATTCACAAAAGGGGCATCACTGTGGCGCAGTGGGTAGAGCTGCCACCTTACAGCGCGCAGGTCGCCCTATAGTTCAAATCCCGGCCAGGGGCCATTCTGGATGGAGTTTGCATGTTCTCTCTGTGCATGCATGGGTTTTTTCTGGGTACTCCGGTTTCCTTCCGCAGACCAAAAACATGCATGTTAGGCTGATAGGTAACTCTAAATTGTCCCTAGGTGTGAGTGAGAGTGTGAATGGTTTTGTCTCATTTGTCTCCATGTGTCCCTGTGATGGACTGGAGACATGTACAAGGTGTCCCCCACCTCTCGTACAGTGATGACTGGACATGGGTACCAGTGATCCCCGCAAATCGAAAAGGAAGAAGCGGGTAAAAGATAATGGATGGATGGATTCACAAAATAATTATCCATAGAAACACATGGAAAAATCTTCATTCCCTCCATTGTTATCTTTAAAATCTGTTTCAGCAAGATGGCTGTTAGCATTTCCTTTCACCCACTTTAGCTTTTCTTCTGCTAGAGTTTAGCAAATTTTACAGTTTACTAGCCTACTTTGGAGCTTCAGTTGGTTTGAAGCACAGCAGTGAAGGCTACCTATGGGACAGATCTGGTTGGCAGGCCGTAGACTGAGGAAGTCCTGTGGATGGGGAACGCAACGTTTCTCACTTAAAGAAACTGGTCCAGACGACACAATTTAGCCTTTTTTGTTGTTTACAGTTTACCATTTTGCTACTTTTAGCCATTAGTTGCTATTTCACTAATTTCAAGGTTCAAGTTCTGTATTGTCATTCGCATCACATGTGGTACATGAGGTGGAACAAAACTGTGCACCCAAGGTTCTAGTTACACCAAAAAATAGCAAAATTATAAAGTATCAAAAGAAACAGTACACAAGGACCTTATACGCTAAACACTAATGTAAAATAATATGGTATATTAAACAGCAGCCTGAACATGAGTCTGTAGCGAGCAGACGGGTATGAATACAACAGCTTAAAAGCAAGAAATCAGCAGCATGGGTAATCAGCAGCACAGTTAAGACACATCACCAATAAAGTGGCACTGAGTAGCCATTTTGCTAATTTTAGCTTTTAGATATGGTTTTGCTAAATGTAGCTTTTATTTTGATATTTGAAAACTTGTTTGGATAGTTTTACCTTTTAGCTAATTATTTGCTAATTTTAAATTTCATCTTCAGGTTTGCTAGTTAGCCTCCAGCTACTGTTATGATAATTTTAGCTTTGTTCTGCTAATTTTAACTTTATTCTATTGTTTTAATACTTTCAGCTTTTGATCTGCTAATTTTAGTTTTATCTACAGTTTAGCTAATTTTAGTTTTGAAATACTGTCATGCTAATTTGAGTTTTGTTTGCTAATTTTTTCCTTGTTGCCATTATTTTACAAAATTTCTTTTCATTAGCTAAATTTAGCCTTTTAACTATGATTTTGCATTAGCAGAATTAAACTGCTGTCGTGCTACACTTTAACTTCAGGTGCAGATGTGCAAATTTTAGCTTTTTGTTAACTAATTTAAACTTTGCTCCGATAATTTGTTTTTTTTTCTATATCTTTAATTTCCATTTATGTATTTATTTCAATTTATATACTTTCTTTTATGATCATCTACTGTTGTCATCATTCTTTGTTAAAAACAGTTTTCTCTTGTAAATGAGTCCTCGAGGCTCAATGAGACTAACCTGTATCAATAAAGGTTAAACGAACTAATGAATTAATTAATTAATTTTAGTTTTTAGCTACTGTTCTGCTTATTTAAGCTTTTGTTCTGCTAATTTTAAAATTTATTCAAAGCTTTGCCAATTTTAGCTTTTATTTAGTTTTGCTAATTTCAGCCTTTAGCCACTGCTATGCTAACTTTTGCTTTTTTCCTATCATTTTCTTTTAGCTTTTTTTTTTTTGCTAGCCTTAAATTTCTGCTAATAGTAGTAGCTTTCTGATTGTTGTAACCAAAACAATTTGGTTTTAGCATATTTAATCAATTTTAGCTCGTACTCAGAGCTCAGTGTTTTTGCTTGATTCTTTGCACCAAATGTTCCCGCGCAAACATTTTTAATTAACTTCTTGTTTTGTAACTCGAAGCTGAAAAATGTCTCAATAATCCTGCCTTCGTCGGCCCTTCCCGTTTAAAATCTGTGCATTTGTGTTATGTTGTGTCGTCCTTGAGCAATGCCACTGTTGCCGGTCTACGACTGGAGGTGTGTTTTTGAGGTTATCTTTTCCTATGACTGATGCTCCCGGTGTTTAAAGTTGTCCCGTTGCCATGACAACAACCTATCACCCACTCAAACGCCACTGCACTTTAGCTCGTTACTTTTATTTAACTATTTCCCTGTTGTTTTGTCCAACCAAACAAAAGATGCACCAGTTGAAGATGTGTTTTGGTGACAAACCGCTGGATGGTTTTAGTCTAAAACCCACAATAAAACTCTGAAATGATGTCGTGATTTTGAGACGTTTGTCAGACTGAAGAGCTCAACTCAAACAAAAGTGATTTTTTTGTTTACAACATCTTGATTAAAGTGGGATTTCCCCATCTTAATGAAAGTGTCCACTCAGCATGTTTCTTCCCATCGTGTTATGTTGGAACCAATTCCAGCTCTGATCTGTCTGAATATTCAGGGGAAAAGCTGCAGAAATTGGTGTGCATCTTTGGATGGATTCTGCTCGTGTGTGTGAGGGATTTTCTTTATGTTACGGACAGAGAACAACGGTGACTTCACCATCTGGAAATCTAGTCTGGCTTTCTGCGAGCGGAGAACTTCTGACCCACGATTCAACTCTTCAACTCTGCGAGGAACAGGAGAGGGGAGGTTGGCGGGAGGAGAGGAGGCGGCTGGGAGGGAGGGGTGTGGTGTTAAAAGTGCTTGTCGTGAGGAGGAGCGATGTCAGACCACTTTGTTCAGCCGTCAACAAGAATCAGGGAAATAAGAGACGCACAAGCATAAACATGAAGACTGAAACGAGCAGAGAGGAAGTTAAAATGAGACCATCAACTTCCTGGAGCTGTAGCACCTAAAGCACATAGACCT